CCACGGCGTGTCACCGCCGTGGCCTCCTCCTCCTCTTCCTTCTCTGGTTCAGACGGCCCCACAACATTCTTGTGTCTGCCACGGCGCGTCACCACTGTGGCCTCCTCCTTTTCCTTCTCTAGTTCAGGGGGCTGCGCAGCATTCTTCCGTCTGCCACGACGCGGCACCGCCGTGGCCTCCTCCTTATCCACCTCCTCATTCTCTGGTGCAGACGGCTCCACGGGCTTCCTCTGCTCTCCACGGCGAGGCGCCTTCACAGTCTCCATCTCAAATAGGGGCTCCGCTGCAGCCAGCTTCTGCCATCCTCCCCGGCGCGCAACCACCTGGGGCTTCTCATCCACCGCCACTCCCTCTGCCTCTGGATCTTCCTTCTGCGTGTCGGGGTGCTGGGCGGCCGGCGGCGCTTTCTTTCGTGCGCCACGGCGGGTCACCGCAGGGGGCTTCTCCTCCGCCGCAATCGGTGCCACCACCGCCGTCTGCCGCGAGGAGCGCCTGGAACTGGGGTTGGCGACAGGCTTGGGATCCGAATCAGGCGCGATGGAGACGGCGAGCACGGTTGAATCGCCGACCTTGATTAGGTCCCCATGGGAGAGCGGGGCGGGGACGGAGGGCGCGAGGGGCTTGCCGTTGAGGAGGGTGCCATTGGAGGACCCGAGATCGGAGACGGCCCAGCCGGCGCCGGGCGGCGGGAGGAACTCGATGACGAGGTGCTGCTGCGACGCGCCCCCGTCGCGCACGGCGAGATCGTTGCCCTTGACGACGCGACCGACGCGGAGGGCGGCGCCCGCGCTGCACTGCCGGGTCTCCCCCGCCCGTGGCCCCTTCTCCACCGCCAGGGCGAGCGTCGGCGGCGGAGCGGCCATTGGAGAGGGTGGGGATCGGAGGGTTTCCTGTTTTTTTTCTCCTCGCCTGTGAATGAGGTTTCAAAATCGTGGGAGGGTTCGGGCGTTTTGAGCACTTTGCAACAAATCAGGGGAGCGGAGCGGGTGCACGGGCCCGCAGGCAGCGTGCGTGAGAGAGAATACGAGGCGTTCGACCGTTAACTTCTGGGATTTGGAGGCCAAGTGCGAACTAAAGGCCACTCTCGGCTCCACGCCCTCCAAAAGCAGATTTTGGGACTCTTTTCAGCTCCACCTTCCCCAAAATCAGATTTCAGGAAACTGCAGAATCCGCCGTTTCGTTCTTTTAAAGGATTGCCGTATGAGATTGTGACATGAGTTGTATGCTGAAACGTCTATAAGACCCTTGGTTTATGTTGGTTAACCAATGCGAGTAATTTCATATTGTTATAGACGTAAATATGAACACGAAAACGATATGAACATTATAAAAGGATACATATTCCATTTACCAAGCACATCAATCAATGAAAGTTGCAATTGACATGGCATGTATACCCATAAATCCTTTTATGCAATTACATTCTAAACATTGCACAATTTGGAGGCCGCATCTCTAACTTTGGACATTTTGAGCACGAACAATTCTCTTTTTTGCAACTTGGCATGCTTTTAGAAGTTTTCACTTTTCACATGTTCTTCAAGCAAGAAGAAAGAGCATATATAGCAGCGCAACTCATCAAGCAGCAGCATGTCCAAAAGCAAAACATCAAGCCATTACAGTTAGCAACATCACATTTACACACACACACACATCCATATACATGCACATGCACACACCATGCTTTGCGTGCACACACGACACAGCACACAAATGAGTTGGGCAGAGGCGACCGTCAAGGAAGAGTAGTGGCGGCTCCATGAGCAAGGAATAGCAGCTCGATGAGCAAGGAGCGGCAGAAGATGGTCAATCGACTATTGTTGAGGCTTCCAATCACAACGATTGGTGGTCGAGGTGGAGGTTCTATATGGTGGGGAAGCGGTTGTACTTTCGTCACAGTCAAGACCAAGATGCATAGAGATGCCCGTGACCTCAAGATTTTGAGCTCCAAGTTGTTCAGCGATGCAAGAGTTCAGTTCACATCGCCAACGAGATCATCCTTCATCTAGATATGGCACAAGAGAGGAGGTGACTTTCGCCGGTGGAATTCAACTTGTGGAAGACGCTAAAGCAACATGTGATCGGGCTTGCGGCTGTCGGCAAGCAAGGAAACGTCAATCTTCAAGGATCACTTAGCTGCTGGCATGGGATGCAAAACACGTCATTTTTTAATGTAAAGATTTGCTCCAGGCGCTGGAAAAACTTCATACACACCTTGCAGAATGGTGATCGTGTGGCAGCCGCTCATGCCGACAAGGAGGCGACCGCCCATGATCGCTTTGGCAAGATCGTGGGATCAAGGGGACGTCGTGGTTGCACGATCATCTGGGATGAGCTGGAAATGTCGTCCATCTAAGGAGAAGGGTTGGACAACCCGTTTTACTGAAGCTGAGGTCTAGGCTGCGGTTCAGGCATCACCGAAGGAGAAGGCGTCGGGACCAGACAATTTCAATGGGGTTTTCTTTTGCTCTTGTTGGCAGATAATCAAGGCAGGTGTCATGAAGGTGTTCGATCAGTTCTATTAGCTTGCATGATCAAATTTTTGGGACATAAACATGACAATGGTGGCGCTGTTACCCAAGAAGGGTGGTGTTGCTTCCTTAACAGCTTTCAGGCCAATTAACCTTGTCCACTCCATCGCCAAGCTCATTGCAAAGGTTCTGTCCACTAGACTTACTGGCATCATTGGTGAGCTCATGTTGCCGGCACAGAGCGCCTTCATCAAGTCCAGATGCATCCTTGGTAATTATATCTACATCCAAAATTGTGTGCGCTCGTTACTGTTGGGGAACACAATAATTTCAAATAAATTTCTACGATCACGCAAGATCTATCTAGGTGATGCATAGCAACGAGAGGGGAAGAGTATGTCTACGTACCATCGTAGACCGAAAGCGGGAGCGTTATGATAATGCGGTTGATGTAGTCGTACGTCTTCATGATTCGACCGATCTCAGCACCGAACGTACGGCACCTCCGTGTTCAGCACACGTTCATCTCGATGACGTCCCTCGTACTCTTGATCCAGTTGAGGCCGAGGGAGAGTTTCGTCAGCACGACGGGGTGATGACGGTGATGATGAAGTTACCGATGCAGGGCTTCACCTAGGCACTACAACGATATGACCGAGGTGGAAATCTGTGGAGGGGGGCACCGCACACGGCTAAGACAATTGTCAACTTGTGTGTTCTAGGGTGCCCCCTGCCCCCGTATATAAAGGAGCAAGGGGGAGGCCGGCCGGCCCTCATGGGGCGCGCTGATACGTCTCCAACGTATCTATAATTTTTGATTGCTCCATGCTATATTATCTTCTGTTTTGGACATTATCGGGCTTTATTATTCACTTTTATATTATTTTTGGGACTAACCTATTAACCAGAGGCCCAGCCCAGAATTGTTATTTTTTCACTATTTCAGAGTTTCGCAGAAAAATATCAAACGGAGTCCAAACGGAATGAAACCTTCGGGAACGTGATTTTCGGAACGAACATGATCTAGGAGACTTGGACCCTACATCAAGCAACCAACAGGGAAGTCACGAGGTAGGGGGC